AACTGTATTGAATAGCAGTGGTGAGAGTGGGCATCACTGTCTGGTACCAGATCTCAGTGGAAATGCTTCCAACTTTTCCCCATTCAATAGGATGTTGGCTGTGGGTTTTTCATAAATTGTTTTGATTGTATTGAGGAATGTTCCTTCCATACCCAGTTTTCTTAGAGTTTTCATCATGAAAGGGTGTTGTATTTTATCAAATGCTTTCTCTGCGTCTATTGAGAGAATCATATGGTTTTTCTTCTGCAGTCTGTTAATGTGGTGAATCACATTGATTGTTTTGCGAACATTGAACCATCCCTGCATACCAGGGATAAATCCCACTTGGTCTGGGTGGATGATCTTTCTGATGTGTTGTTGCATTCTATTGGCGAGAATTTTATTGAGGATTTTTGCATCTATGTTCATCAGGGATATTGGTCTGTAATTCTCTTTCAATGCTGCATCTTTTTCCAGCTTAGGAATTAAGGTGATGCTGGCTTCATAGAAAGAATTTGGGAGGATTCCCTCTTTTTCGATTGTTCTGAATAGTTTGAGAAGAATTGGAGTTAGTTCTTCTTTAAATGTCTGGTAGAATTCAGCAGTGAATCCATCTGGTCCTGGGCTTTTCTTTGTTGGGAGGGCCTTTATTTCTGTTTCAATTTCTGTCTCAGTTATGGGTCTGTTTAGGTTTTCGATGTCTTCCTGGTTCAATTTAGGTAGGTTGCATGTGTCCAGGAATCTATTCACTTCTGATAGATTTCCCTGTTTGCTGGCATACAAGTCCTTGTAGTAATTTCTGATGATTCTTTTTATTTCTGTGGTGTCTGTTGTTACGTTTTCTTTTTCATCTCTGATTTTGTTGATTTGGGTCTTTTCTCTTCTTTTTTTTAGTTAGTTGGGCCAATGGGGTGTAAATTTTGTTTATTTTTTCAAAAAACCAGCTCCTCGTTTGGCTGATTTTTTGTAATTTTTTTGGATTCAATCCTGTTGATTTCTTCTCTGATTTTAATTATTTCTCTTCTCCTACTAGATTTGGGTCTGGTTTGCTGCAGATTTTCTAGATCCTTGAGATGAATTGAAAGCTCATTTATTTGGTGCCTTTCCAATTTCTTGATGTAGGCACCTATTGATATAAACTTTCCTCTTAACACTGCTTTTGCTGTATCCCATAAGTTTTGGTATGTTGTGCTGTTATCCTCATTTACTTCCAGAAAAATTTTGATTTCTCTTTTGATTTCTTCTATGACCCATTGTTCATTCAGGAGCATGTTGTTCAATCTCCATGTGTTTGCATATGCTCTAGGGATTCCTGAGTTGCTAATTTCCAACTTCATTCCTTTATGGTCTGAGAAGCTGCATGGTATGATTCTAATTCTTTTGAATTTGCTGAGACTTGCTTTATGGCCTAGTATGTGGTCAGTCCTAGAGAAGGTTCCATGTACTGCTGAGAAGAATGTAAAATCATTAACTGTAGGATTGAAAGTTCTGTAGATATCTGTTAGATCCATTTGGGCTATAGTGTCATTTAAATCTACTGTATCCTTGTTGATCTTCTGTCCTGTTGATCTGTCTATTTCTGAGAGTGGAGTATTGAAGTCCCCCAGTACTATTGTATTGGGGTTTAAGTCTCCCTGTAAGTCCCTTAAAAAATCTTTTAGATAAACCGGTGCCCTGTAGTTAGGTGCATATACATTGATAATTGTTATATCTTCTTGTTGTATTGATCCCTTAATCATATAGTGTCCCTCTTTGTCTCTCTTAACAGTTTTTGTGTTAAAGTTTATGTTGTCCGATATTAAGATGGCTATGCCTGCTCTTTTTTCATTTCTGTTGGCATGGTATATCTTTTTTCCAGCCTTTCACTTTCAGTCTGTATGCATCTTTGTTGGAAAGATGTGTTTCTTGTAAGCAGCAAATAGATGGGTTTGTTCCTTAACCCAATCAGTCAATCTGTGTCTTTTAACTGGACAGTTCAGACCATTAACGTTCAATGTGACTATTGATAAGTAGTAACTTTGCCCTGCCATTTGCCAAAGATATTTTCTAATAAATGCTTTGAACTTCCTGTGATCTTTTGCTGTGAGGTTTCCTTCCTTTACCTTCTTTCATACTGATGACCGTGTTTCTGTGTTTCTGTGTGTAACACATCTTTAAGCATCTTTTGCAGGGCTGGACGAGTGGCGACAGATTCTTTCAAAAATACATTTATTTATTTTGAAAAGCAGAGTTACAGAGAGAAAGACATAAAGAGACATAGATAGTGGTCTTCCATGCAATGGTTCACTCTGCAAATGGCTGCAATGGCTGGGGCTGGGTTGTACATATTTGAGGAGTGCTGTGTGGTATTTCCATATATGTAAGAATGTTTGATGATCAAACCAGGGTAATTACCATATGCATCATCTCAAACACTGAGATGTTAAGAACATTAAAGACTTTCTTCTAACTATTTGGAAATATATAATAGATTATTGCTAATGATAGTCACTCTACTGTGCCTTGCAACATTAGAATATATTCCTCCCTTCTGTTTGGTGGTATCCAATTACCAACTGAATTTTACAGATGAAGAAGCTGAGTAGCCTGCCCAGGTCATACATACAGCTGGGAGGTACTAGAGCTGGAATTTGATCCTAATGGTCTAGACTGGCTCCACTGCCCTCTCCACTACCTTCCCATTCACTGGTAACCATTATTTCACTCTATTTCTATAAGATCAACCCATTTACTTTTCATGTGTGACTGAGAAAATGTGGAATTTTTTGTCTGTGGCTGGCATATTTCATTTCACATGACATCCTCCAGTCTCATCCATATTGTGACATGTGACAGGATTCCTCTGTGTGTGTGTGTGTGTGTGTGTATGTGGCTAAACAGTATTCTGTTGAGCACTAACACCACAGTTTCTTTATCCATTCATCCACTGATGAACACTTTAGTTGAGTCTATATCTTGGCTACTATGAGAAGTGGTACAGTGAACACAGTGGGTGCCGATGTCTCTTCTATAGGCTGATTGCCTTGCCTTTGGCCATGTACCCAGTAATTGAGGTCCTCGATCAGTAGTTCTGTTTTTTCATGTTTTAAAGAACCTCCATACTGTTTTTCATAATGCTATACTACTTTACATTCCCATCAACACTGTTGGGGTTTTCTTTTCTTTTCTTTTCTTTTCTTTTCTTTTCTTTTCCTTTCTTTTCTTTTCTTTTCTTTCTTTCTTTCTTTCTTTCTTTCTTTCTTTCTTTCTTTCTTTCTTTCTTTCTTTCTTTCTTTCTTTCTCTTTCTCTCTCTTTCCCTCTTTCTTTCTTTCTTAAAAAACTTTTTATATAGAAACTGTCAACATTTTTGGAAATTGAAGCAAACAACATAATGAACTCTTATGAGTCCATAACCCAGTTTCAATAATTATCACCACATGGCTAATTCTGTTTCATGTATGCCCTAGTCAGCTGGGTTTTTTTCTTTCTTTCTTTCTTTTTTTTTTTTTTTTGGCTGGTGTTTAATGGATATTTTTATTTTTGTTTTTGCTTTTGGTTGTTAAAATTGTTTAAGTTTTAATTAGTTTTTAATACATTCAGTATAGTTTGCACATACAATTCTAAGAATATAAATATTTCCTTCCTCCCTCTCTCTCCCCTTTCTTTTTTTACTTTGAGATAACATATTTTAAATTTAAATTACAGTAAAATAATTAATGCCTCACCAAATAACAAGTTTAACAAGTAAAAAGCAAAAAACCTTAGTTTAGTGGGAATACAGACAATGGTTATAAACAATAATTGAATGCAAATATGACCATTTTACCATATAGAGTTAATTAAAACTGTAGACGGATAACGTTCTGAACCATTGGTTTGATAAAGGTATAAAACAAGTTTTACAAAACCATATTTGCAGCAATACTGATACACCCAAGCATTTCTTTCTTTTTTTTTTTTTATTTTAGCTCCCACATATAAGAGAGAACATGCAGTGTTTGTCTGTGTCTGGTTTATTTCACTCAACATGATGTCCTCCAGTTGCATCCATTTTGATGCAAATGGTAGAATTTAATTCTTTTTTTATATCTGAATAATGTTCCATGTGTATATATCCCTCATTTTTTCTATCCATGCATCTGATGATGAACACATTGGTTGATTCCAAATTTTGGCTATTATCAACAGTGCTGCTTTAAACATGGTGGTGCTGGTATCTCTTTGATACATTGCATTCAAATCTTTGCAGCACATACCTAGCAGTGGGATTCCTGGATCAACAAATCAAATACAAGTCTATTTCTAATGTTTTAAGAAATCTCCACATTTTTTTTACAGTGGCTGCACTAATTTACATTCCCACCAACAGTGTATAAGTGTTCCCCTTTCTCCACATCTTCACCAGCATTTGTTACTGGCTTTTGCATTTTAGCCATTCTGACAGGGGTGAGGTAGTATCTCATTGTAGTTTTGATTTGCATTTCCCTGATGGCTACTGATGTTGAGCATTTTTTCATATATTTGTTGGCCATCTGTATTTCTTCTTTTGAGAACTATTGAGGTCCTTCGCCCAATTTTAATTGGATTGTTTTTCTGTTGTTGAATTTTTACGTTGCTGATATTTGAAGTGTTAACATCTTGAAACTACTGCTATTCAAATTAGTTAACTTAGTGAAGATCACACAGCCAACCACTAGCATACCTCTTCTTAATGTGCTAATCTGTCCTAAAGAGCTGAGCCAATCAAATACAAGTATCAATGTATTAAAGTACAAGTCAGCTGTTAAAAGTGCCACTTAAATGAAGATTAGTGTACCTTAATACTAGTAATAAAATTTGAGAGGAGAATCAAAAAGTGTTAGTGTATAATATATTCCCCTTCATATTTGGGCATATTGTATACTGTCACAAAAGCAGAGATAACTACTGAACTACCATTGGCAATAATGATTTTAGAATATATTACAAGGGAACTTAGGTATTTTAATTTTATTTCAACTTCTATATATTATTTTGTAATGTCACATTTAAAAAAACTTACCTGATTGTTCTGTCTTCTGATAGCTGAATCATCTTCATTTTTCCAAATAAACTGACTTAAAGAGAGTGACAGATATGAAAGTCATATTAAAACATAATTCCATGAATTTAGCTTTTCATAATTTAACTATTTTATTTGGTGGTATATTAGGCACAAATACAAAATTATTCTTTTTAAATAAGCCTGATAACATTATCATATTTTCTTTCAAAATCATTAATGATCAGCAGAAATTACATTTAACACAACTAACAAAATCATATTTCATTATAGTACTACCAAATTCAAATCATAGTCCAATTTCTATGGCAGGAAAATATAACCAGAAGTTTTAGAAAGTATTTTGCTTATAGATATTTTGTGAATGATAACTGTCTATTAAAATTCATCTTAACTTCAAAAGACTCTACAGAATTCTCAGTACTATAATTTTGAATGAAATGATACCAGTGTAAAATTTAAGCACATTGATTAGTTTACCTATAACCAAGAATCCAAGAGAGGACAAATTTGTTCTAACAAAGGCAAATAAACAGAAACATTTCTCTGTGATCAGGTTGCCTCTGATAACAAAAAGATTACAATAGAAATACATATAAGAAATTATTACTCATTATATTCAAGAGGAATGTTCATCTGTAACAGTAAAGATAGAATCAAAGAAATTTTAGCTTAAAAAAATCACTAATCTCACTCATATATTTGTTATGATTAGAACTCCTCATAATAGTACTCTGGATACATCACTCTTTTTCTTACAGTTTAGAGTATAACATGTGGAATCAGCATCTATACTAATTACCTTTTTTTATTGCTACAATAATCATTATCTGAATCTTCCAATGATTCTGGCAACTCAGAATTTCCAATTTGATTTTTTGCAGTCTGGCTTTCTTTTCGAACGGCTTTTTCCCCAGGTGAGGTTGATATTCATCCATGGCAGATAAAGTTCAGAATATTAAGAAAATACTAAAATAAAATTTTGTTTTATATGTATACATTATAATCTTGTCCTACATATGTTTCAGAATCTCCATGAACTTTACAGATGCAAAACAATAATTTCCAAAGTGAATTTCATGAAACATTAGTTCTTGTGAAAAGAATATTCTTTGGTCAATTCAGGTTGAGAGGCATTTAATTAAGCAACACTAAATAGGAACATAACACCCTAAACACCCATCCACACACATACTCTTATTGCAGGATTTCTCCATCTCAATGTACAAAATGAATCTGAAAGGAGGTAAGATGGATTTTTCTTAAATTTAGTTCTCTTCAGAAAATTTTTATCAAAAGCCTCTTTTGAAATAGTGCTCTGAGGAACCTCTGGAAAATACTGAGCATAAACCGTCATTTATTATTGTGAAATAACATTTTCATTTATAAAATTTCCTTTCACTTTAACAGAATTTATCTGTCTTAAAAATATTAACATTATTGTTGTACATTATCTGTTAATATAGGTTTTTTCCCCATGGAGAAAAAAACTTAGAAACAAATGAGTCAAACTAATATTTGAAAAGTCATTTCACAAGAACTGCCACAATAATTGTAAGATGAAGCGCTTATTGGCTTAATTTTGGTTTGGCTGCTACCATTTATTTCCCAACTGGCATAAAGACAGCAGACAGAATTTTCTGAGAGATCTATTCAATGCAAAATGAAAAATATATGGAAATAACAGCCATTTAAAAGCTAATAGTAAAATACAACTTCTCCTACCCACCCCCAAAAAGAATTACCACTGCAAAACTCAATAGATTCTGAGTTAATTTTGATAGGTATATAGAATATGTATCTGTTATTCCTAGGAACAGCATAGAACAGGATGAACTGCTCCCTGCAACACCTGTGCAATATAATACAAAATAAAAGCAAACCTATTTACTTTAGAAAAAAGTAATACAATGGTATGGGAACTATAATTTTTATAGATACATAATCTATTGGATAGGTAGGTTCACAGAAAAGGGAGTGATAACTATGAAATTAAGTTTTGAACTGCAAGCTGCTTTCATAGCAAAGACGACAGAGGAATGTAAACAAAGAGATAGGCATGTATAACGCACATGGTACTAATAATGTATGCAGCATTTGTATTAACAGTGAAAATTTCGGTATGTTCAGTGTTGTAAATCAAGAGCTGAAGGCCTGGCATTGTCATAGCAGGTACAACTTTAGGTAAGTTATTTCTCTAATTTCAGCTTTCTTATCTCTGAAATGGCATCGAGTAAGTAAAACACCCAACACAGTGCCCAATCCTTAGAAGTCTCTTGATGTCATGCTCTGATTTCTGTCCCACTAGCACTCTCCTACTTCAGCTTTTATATACCCTTTCAGTCCTATCACCTAAGATTTTTTTTTGTTTTTTTTCTACAACTAAAATCCAATCATGCCACTCCTATTAAAGCCTTCAAAATGGCTTACCAATGCCTACTAAATTCCTTAGCTTTATAAATAAGGCTCTTGCAATTTAAATCTCTACCTACCGTTCCAGAAATACCAGTTCATGATACTTCTCACTCCTCTCGCTACCTACATACTCTAATAATAATAGTGCATTAATAATAGCTAAAAATTACCAAACCAACTACCACATTAAGTCAATCCTGGAGACTCCATTCATAACATGACCTACATAAAGAAAGCCTTTTGGAGGTAGGCAATGAATAATCTGCATGGTCATACATTGCAACTCTGGCTTGGAAGTCAGAGGAGGAGGATTTTTTTATGCCATGTTTTTTGGATTTTTTTGGATTTGGGGATGTTTGCATGGATTAGGGATGCTCAGATTGTAGTTTTGTCCTTCTTTAATGTATTTCCAAGAAATAAACCTTGCATATCTCACCAGACATAATTTTCCAAAGAGGAAGATGACTCAAATATTAGAGGAAAATGAATAGTGCAAAGTTAGGATTAAATAGGCAGAATAAATAGGAAGAAATATGAAGGAATGATCTGTTAAAATAGACTAATGAAAAATTTGCAAATAAATTCATTTTTCTTGTGGCACAGCAGGTTAGGCTGCTGCTTACAATGCTGGCTTCCGGTATCAGAGTGTCAAGTCAAGTCCTGGCTACTCTGCTTCCTATGCAGCCTCCTGGTAATGAGCCTGGGAAGGCAGCCAGAGATGATCCAGGTACTTAGGGCCATAACACCCCTGTGAGAGACAGGAATGGAGTTCCTGGTTCTTGGCTTTGACTTGGCTCAGACCCAGCTGTTGTGGCCACTTAGGGAGTGAACTATTGGGATGAGACTCTCTTTATCTGTTGCTCTTTCAAATAAATCAATCTTAAAAAAGAAAGCTAGAGCACCTTTATTAATAATAGACTAAGTAAACTTCAAAGTGAAGACTATTATCAGAGGTAAGAGAAATATTACATAACATAGGGATAAAGTCATCAGGATACAATAATTATAAATATGTGTGCACCAAAAACAGAGCTTCAAAATTTGTAAAGCAAATATAGATATTTGCAGATATCACAAAGCAAAATGTCAGTATTAGACTAGGTAAATGGATTACAATGGTATGGTATAAAAATGCAATTAGAGTAGTATTACATGTGACAACACTGATGAATGCAATACATCTTATATCTATCTACCTATCCATTTATCTATAAATATATGACATTTAAAACAAAACAAAGCCATATTTTTAAGTGATACAAAGGAGGGTTGTGAAAGTATAAAGAAAAATAAGAAAACAATTTTCACAGAAAGTAACATATTAGTTATCCATATGGGGGAAGGAGAAGAATGTGGTCAGAGGAAAAAAAAATGAAGTTAGAAAGTCTTCTAGTGAAATGAACACTATGAGAAACAGTGACTTGATCAGCCCTCACCCTGATTGTTGATGAGCAACTTAATACTTTATTCCTTTTAGTATTTTTTTTTTGTCCTACTTAATACTATTGGTTGAACTCTGTAATTAACACACAATTATTCTTAGGTGTTTAAATTTAACTGAAAAGTGATCCCTGTTAAATTTAAGAGTGGGAATAAGAGAGAGAGGAGATGTACAATTTGGGACATGCTCAATCGGACTTGTCCCAAATGGTAGAGTTAGAAACGTGCCAGGGGATTCCAATTCAATCCCATCAAGGTGGCATGTACCAATGCCATCTCACTAGTCCAAGTGATCAATTGCAGTTCACAATTGATCATACTGATAGGTCTAAGAGTCAAAGATATCACATAAACAAGACTTGTGTCTGCTAATACTAACTGATAGAATTAAGGTGAGAACAATCCAACATGGGAATTGGGATACACAGCAGACTCATAGAATGGCAGGTCCTAAACAGCACTCTGGCCTCAGAATCAGCCCTTAAGGCATGCGGATCTGGCTGATGAGCCCATGAGAGTATTTTAGGCATGGAAAGCCAAGACACTCTGGCAAAAACAAACAAACAAACAAACAAAAAAACCCTAAATGAAAGATCTCTGCGAGTGAGATCCCAGTGGAAAGAACAGGTCATCAAAGAAGGAGGTACCTTTCTCTGAAGGGAGGAGAGAACTTCCACTTTGACTATGATCTTGTCTAAATAAGATCAGAGTCGGCAAACTCAAAAGGCCTCCATAGCCTTGGCAACTCATGACGAGAGCCTAGGGTGATTACTGATGCCATAAACAAGAGTGTCCATTTGTTAAGTCAACAACAGGAGTCACTGTGCACTTACTCTTCATGTAGGATCTCTGTCCTTCATGTGTTGTACAATGTGAATTAATGCTATAACTAGTACTCAAACAGTATTTTACACTCTGTGTTTCTGTGTGGGTGCAAACTGTTGAAATGTTTACTTAATATATACTAAACTGATCTTCTGTATATAAAGAGAATTGAAAATGAATCTTGATGCGAATGGAATGGGAGAGGGAGCAGGAGAGGGGAGGGTTGCAGGTGGGAGGGAAGTTATCGGGGGGAAGCCATTATAATCCATAAGCTGTACTTTGGAAATTTATATTTACTAAATAAAAGTTTAAAAAAATCATGGGGAAAAAAAAGAAAGTCTTTTAAGAAGAACAGATAACAAAACTATACTACCTTTTAAGCTGCGATTAAACTTCTAAAAAAGCAATAGGGCAAATGAATGAAGCTGCATTTAGAACAGTGTTGTTCTTAGCACTATTCATAATAGCAAATAAATTAATACAGGTTAGGGAAACAAAATACGACACAAAGAAATTCTATAATGATGAAATCTGTATTTATTGATATGAAGTATCTGTGATGTAGTTTTTTAAAAGAGTAATTTTTCTCTCTCTTTTTAAAGATCTATTTATGTATTTGAAAGGCAGAGTTACGGGAAAAAAGAGGCAGAGAGAAACATCTTCCATCCTCTGATTCACCCCCAAATGTTCACAAAAGCCCGAGCTGGGGGAGGCCAAAATCAGGAGCCTGGAACTCCATCTGGGCCTGAAACTTATGCCATCTTCTGCTGCTTTCCCAGGCACATTAGCAGGAGGTAGTACAGAAGTGTAGCAGGCACAACTCAAACCAGCACTCATATAGGATGCTGGCATCACAGGTGATAGCTTAATCTACTGTGCCACATGTTGGCCCCAAAATAAAAGAATTTTTTAAAAAAAAGATTTATTTATTTTTATTTTAAAGTCAGAGATGCAAAGAGAGAGGGAAAGACCGAGAAAGAGAGATCTTCTATCCACTGGTTCACTCCCCAGATGGCTGCAATGGCCAGAGCTGGGCCAGGCCAGGAGTTTCTTCTGGGTCTCCCATATGGGTGGCAGGGGTACAAACACCTGGTACATCTTCTGCTGCTTTACCCATGCCATTAGCAAGGAGCTGGATCAGAAGTGTAGCATCTGGGACACAAACCAGTGCCCATGTGAGATGCCAGCATCACAGGTGGCAGCTTTAGCTGCTATGCTACAATGCTGGCCACAAAATAAAAGCCCTTTTAAAGGAGTTTGTATGAGCTCTTATTTTTGAAAAACTGAAAAACACATATTACATATAAGAACTGAAAAAAAAATAACCAGAAGGATATATATCAAAACACTAATAGAAGCTGTTTCTGGGTGGTGGAATTATTGTTAATCTTTATTTTTTTTCCCTATATTCATTGAGTTTAAAGTAGAACTATAATTTATACTTACTAATGAGAGTATTGTGGTTTCCCATTTAAAGAGGTTTGTTTTTTTTTTTGAGTAAGAACCAAGAAATTAGTTTCATTTTAAAACTACACTTTCATGGAATTCACAGAGTTTAAAACTCTGCCAAAGTTGTGTGTTTTTGTTTGTTTGTTTGTTTGTTTTCTTTAGACAGAGATTTTGTGCAAACAGTATAGTTCAGGGATTTGGCCAATAGCCCAGCATGTGAAATATGACACTACCCGCTACTTTATTTAGGGCAACTATCCATCTCATTAGCCACTTGATCTAATACTTTTCTCCCATCCCCATTTACCCTTCACGTGACTATCATGACTGGAAAACCGAATCATGTCAAGACAAAGAAGGTGAAGACTTGCTGAGCATCTCAGTGGTGTTAAGTAAAAAGTAGTGAATATTAATGTGCCTACAATTAGACAGTGCTAAGTTTGGAAAATCGTTGGGAATAGCCTCAATGTAGAATGTGAGAAACATAACTAGTTAGGAACTAGCATATTTGACAGGTATAACAGACACTGTCATTAGTTTTGAGTGGATTAATTTCATTTATAGATGTTTAAAGTGTTATGAAAATCTTTAAAAAGTATATGGAAAATGCCTATTTTAAAATATTTTGCAGGGAGTTCAAATTTTTTGGCACCAAAACAAATTTATCTTTTAAGCGTATCTTTCCATTAACTATTTGAAGCATAATTACATATCTGTTTTTCCTCAGTTTATTTCCTTATGTAATGATTTAAAAGTTTAACTGATTTTTATTGGTTCTTAGAGAGTCATATCTTTTTATATATTTATCAATTTAATTTTGATATAATTTTAATTATCTATTTTTAAGAATAAAACTAATACTAAATTGATAAGCTGATTTATAATCAGATAAAAATTTAAAAATTCTTTGAAATACACACATCTCCCAACATTAAAGTTGTTTTTCCTTGGTTTAACACTATTTTCTTCTATATGGTTCCCTGGCCTCTGAATAATACCAGAGTTTTATGTGGTAAACTCTTCATTTCTCTTCCTCTGTACCCTTAATTTTAACTGAAACTTTTTTATTATAAAATAAGTAAAGGTGATAAAGTGCTATAACTATTTTGATTTTGTTTCTATTTTAAGTATTTAAATTGTTTTTTATATTACCTGGAAAAAGTTTATTTTTAAAAACCTCTAAATGGAACTGTAGCTTTTCTTTTCTCCTGCCTATACTCTGGGTTTGCCCAGAATTTCCTCACAAACCTCACGGTAAAATGTGTTATAATAATCTTTCCTTATATTAGTAAAATTCACCTTCTTGCTGATTCTTGTTAAGAAGTTCTTTCAGAATGTTTTCTAACAAACTGGGGTCTCTTCCAGATTCTTCCTCTGACAAAGTTACACTAACTGGTCTGTGAACTGTTCCATCAACCTCAGCAACATCATTATAACTCTGCTGCCCATCTAAAGTAACTGTTGACGCTGAATATACATTTCCTAAATGGTCCATTACAGGAAGCAAATATAATTCTGGTTGAAGAGCCTAAAACATACAGGAAATTTAAAAAATTAGTTTTAAATAAAAAATAGTTTGCGTTTGAAACTTAGCATAAGTTTACAATGTCAGATTACATACATATGGAGGAGCAAAAGATTTGAGCTTCAGTTCTGATTCTTGTTTTTCCTTTACCTAGAAATAAATAAGTGAGAAAAAAATTAAAACTTTGGTAACATTTTCCCAATTTTTACCTCCACTTTTTTGCAGCAGGCACACTTTTGTGCCATATAAATCAAATTTAAAAGCTTAGAACTATGGCTAGATTCACTGCATCAACATAATAGAAATTCTATGTCTTCTACTAGTAATCATTATAGATAACACTTGCATGGATCCACTACATGCCCGGCACTATTTTAAGTATTTCACATGTATCAGCTAAGTCTTATAACTTCATACCATCAGTACTAACATCAACTACAGTTTACAAACAAGGAGAATGAGGCAATCACAACTACTTACCTCAGATTGTTTACCCAGAGAGTTTTCACATTGAGATTCCAAGACAGGTGATCTGACTCTAGGGTTCAACCTTGTAAACTTTATTTCCTACCCATTAATCTCATGAAGTTCATTTGTTATTTATTTATTTAAACAAAGACTGAGGGAATACTATGTCTTAGGCAGTGTTCTACGTGGTAGGGATATAACAATAAATAAGGCTAAGTCCCTGCCCTTGGGAGCTTACATTCTACTGTGGAGAGACGACATTAAATAAAGAAATAAGCATGATTTAGGACTGTGAGATGTATTTTTTGAAACTAAAATGGGGTGATATAACAGAGAGTAAATTAGAGAAATAACTAGGTGGTCAAGTAAGGGCTTTTTGAAAAGGTAACACATGATCTAAGACCCACATTAAGAAAAGCAACAGCCTGCTATCCAAACATCAAAGGGAAGTGATTTGCCAGGAAACTACAAGGACCATATATAAGAAATGAAAACCAAAGGAAAATTTTTGTAGCTGAAGTGTAGGATCTAGAAAAATATGACAACAGATTAAATCTAGAGGTAGACAAAGTTCATTGTCCTGCTAAGAGCCATTTGGATATATATAACATTATTCATGGACCCTATAAAATGATCAACTTAAAAACTAGCCTCTTATAGATTTACTGAATTTCAAGTCCCACCTGCAGTTGCCTTGGAAGGGCTGGACTAAATCATTTTGCAGGCTTTATATAGCCTGAGGGCCCGACCTTCCCCAACTCTACCCTAGACCCTCCTTACCCTTCTTCCAGCCTCCAAGTTGGAATCTCTGCCTTTTTTCTCTTCCCACTGCAATCCATCCTCCTCAGTGAGGCCCAGTTAATTTTACTAAGAGCTCTTATCATGTCACTTTTTTGCTTAAGAAACTCTGAAGTTTCAGAAAAATTTCCAAACTATTAATTTGGCATTAAAATCCTTCAATAATTTGTCCTCCACTATTCCCTTCATGCAGCCAGTGCTCCATTAAAAAATTGAAACATTTATTCTTTCTTTGGTGCCTGCTTTTCTACTTTTGTGTTCATTCTACTTATGTTTTTATTTATTATTTATTTTAAAGACATATTTAGTTTATTCATTTGAAAATCAGAGTTACAGAGAGGAAGAGACAGAGAGAGAGAGAGAGAGAGAGAGAGAGAGAGAAATCTTCCATCTGCTGGTTCATGCTCCAAATGGTTGTTAATAGTCAGGGCTGGGGCCGGCGCCAAGGCTCACTTGGCTAATCCTCTGCCTGTGGCGCTGGCACCCCGGGTTCTAGTCCTGGTTGGGGCGCCGGATTCTGTCCCAGTTGCTCCTCTTCTAGTCCAGCTCTCTGCTGTGGCCCGGGAAGGCAGTGGAGGATGGCCTGAGTGCTTGGGCCCCGCACCCGCATGGGAGACCAGGAGGAAGCACCTGGCTCTTGGCTTCGGATTGGTGCAACACGCCGGCTATAGTGACCATTTGGGGGGTGAACCAACGGAAGGAAGACTTTTCTCTCTGTCGCTCTCTCTCACTGTCTAATTCTGCCTGTCAATAATAATAATAATAATAATAGGGCTGGGACAGGCTGAAGCCAGGAGCCAGGAGCTTCATCCAGGTCTCCTACATGGGTGCAGGGCAAAAGGACTTGGGCTGTGTTCCACTGCTTTCCCAGGCACTTTAGCAGGGATCTGGATCAGAGGTGGAACAGCCAGGACTCAAACTGGCACCAAGATGGGATGCCAGCACTGCAGATGCAGACGGCGGCTTAACTTGCTGCACAATAGCACTAGCCCTGCTCATTCTATTTTTGCTGCTCAGAAAATTTTTCCCATGAACAACTATATACCAACAAATTAGAAGATCTAGAAGAGATGGATAAATTTCAGAGAACATATAACCTACCAAAATTAAACCTTGAGGGTAGAGAAAACCTGAATAGACAGTAACAAGCAATGAAACTAAATTAGTAATAAAAAGTGTCTCAACAATGGGAAGCCCATGACCAGATGAATTTTACCAAACTTTTAAATAAGAGCTCACATCAACACTTCTCAAATTATTCCAAAATACTAAAAGTGTGGGCACTCTTCCAAACTGTGTGAGGCCAGCATTATCCTGATACCAAAACAAGACAAGGACTCAACAACAAAAAACTACAGTCTAACGTCCCTGATGAACATAGATGCAGATTTTGCATCTATGCAATAAAATAAATGCAATAAAATGCTAGTAAATTGAATCATATAGCACATTCAAGATTATATATTACCAACAAGTGGGATTTATACCATGGATGCAAGGATTGTCCAACAAATGCAAATCAATATGTATAATATCATTATATAAAATATGTATAAATATCATCATATAAAACATCAACAAAATGAAGGATAAAAGTCAGATGATATATCAATAGGTATAGAAAAACATCAATAAAAGTCAACATCCCTTCGTGGTAAAAACCTTCAAGAAATTAGGTACAGAAGGAATGTATCCCAATACAATAAGGGCTATGGATGACAAATTCATAGCTTTTGTCACACAGAATGAGAAAAAAACAAGTCTTTTTCTTTAACATCAGTTAACAAGACAAAGATGTTCATTTTCACTCAATGTATTATTGGAAGTCTCAGCCTTAGAAATTAGACAAGAGGAAGAAATATGAGGGCATCCAAATCAGAAAGGCATAGGTTGAATTATCCCTGTTTGCAGCTGACATGATTTTATATATAGAAAGATCAAAAGACTCCACCAAAAAACTGTTAGAACCAATAAACTCATTCAATAAGGGTGCAGGATATAAAAGCAGCATACGAAATCAGTAGTTTTAAAATCATCAATAAGGAAATTGCTAAAAACAGAAATCAAGAGGACAATTCCATTCACAACACCTACAACAAAAATCTAAGACTATATTTAACCAAGGAAGTGAATGATCTATCTCTACAATGACAATTACAAGACATTGATGAAAGAAAGTATAGAGGACACATGAAAAATGAGTGGATTGGAAGAATTAATATTCTTAAAATGTCAATACTCCCCAAAGCAATTTACAAATTTATGCAATTCCTATCAAAGTGGCACCCATCATAGAAACAGAAAAATCATAAAATTCATATGAAACCATAAAAGACCTTGCATGGCCAAAGTAATCCTTAGCAAAAAGAAAAAAGTTAGGGTGCAATGCAATACCTGACTTCAAAATATACTACAAAACTATAGTAAAAAAACAGCAGAGTATCAGCATAAAGCAGATACATACACCAATGGAAAGAAATACCCAGAAATAAAAATAATAATAATAAATAATAAGTAAACCCACATTTGAATCCACACATTTAGAATTAATTTATTTTTGACAATAGCAGAAAGTACATACATTGGAGAAAGGAAAGTTTCCCAATAAATGGTACTGGGAAAACTGGATATCCATAAGCAGAAGAAAAAAACTAGATCCCTCTCTCACCATATGAAAAAATCAACTCAAAATGCATTAAAGACCAAAACTTTGATTCCAAGGTACTTGATATTCTGTTAGCTATAATGAATGAGATTGCTCTTAGAAGTTCTTTATCAGCTATGGCATTATCTGTGTATTCAATGGCTCTTGAGTTTTGTGTATTGATTTTATATCATGCTGTTTTACCAAACTCTTATATGAGTTCTAATAGTCTCTTAGTGGAGTCTTTTGCAGGCATGCCCTGTATATAGATTCATGTCATCTGCAAATAGGGATAATTTGACTTCCTCTTTCCCAATTTCTATCCTTTGATTTCTTTTTCTTGCCTAATGGCTCTGGCAAAAATTTCCAGGACTCTATTGAAAGGCAATGGTGAGAGTGGGCATCCTTGTCTGGTTCCAGATCTCAGTGGGAATGCTTCCAACTTTTCCCCCATTCAATGAGATGCTGGTCATGGGTTTGTTGTATATTGCCTTGATTGTGTTTAGGAATGTTCCTTCTATACCCAATTTGCTTAGAGTTTTCATAATGAGAGGGTATGGTATTTTATCAGATGCTTGCTCTGCATCTATTGATTTAATCATATGGTTTTTGTTCTTCAGTTTGTTGATGTGCTAAATCACATTGGTTGATTTGCAAATGTGAACCATCCTTACATACCAGGGATCAATCCCACTTGGTTTGGGTACATGATCTTTCTGATGTGTTGTTGAATTCGATTGGCTAGAATTTTGTTGAGTATTTTTGTGTCCATGTTCATCAGGGAAATTGGTCTGTAGTTCTCTTTCTCAGTTGGATCTTTTTCAGGTTTAGGAATTAAGGTGATGCTGGCTTCATAGCAAGAATTTGGGAGGAATCCCTCCCTTTCAATTGTTTTGAATAACTTGAGAAAAATTAGTTAGTTCTTCTTTAAATGTCTGGTAGAATTCAACAGCAAAGCCATCAGGTCTTGGGCTTTTATTTGTTGGGAGGGTCTTTATTACTGATTCAATCTCAGTCTTGGTTATGGGTCTGTTTAGGTTTCTGTGTCTCCATGCCTCAATTTAGGTAGGCTGTATGTGTCCAGGAATCTATCTATTTCTTCTAGGTTTCCCAGTTTGTTGGCATACATATCTTTGTAGTAATTTCTGATGACTCTTTTTATTTCTGTGGTGTCTGTTGTTACATTTTCTCTTTAACCTAATTATATTAATTTGGGTCTTCTCTCTCCTCTTTCTGGTTA